ATAATATAAAACTAATATAATATCAATAAAATAATATAAAATAATGTTTAAAAATATCTATAATATTACAATACATTGAGTTTTCTATTTTATATAACAGTAAATTATTTTCACTCACTATTACATGATCAGGAACTTTCATTCTAAATTCAATAAAGTCTAGTCTGTTCTGATATTTTTAAGATTCATAAATAAGATTTATCTTATGATTAGTTTTATGTATCTAAAAAAAATCAGTATCTTATATGAAAGTTTGTTATTAGTGCTAAAATTATAATACTTGACTTAAAACAGTATTTTATGTTAACGTCACCTGATATAAATGAAATATTTAATATTGATGAGAAAATCCAAGAAATCGATACAGGTTTAGATGATGATAATGTAAATAATGTACTTGATTCAATTTTAGATGCAACAGATGGTGTTGGACACATGTGAGAGGCAGTTGATGATAATAAATTGGTGTCAGAAAGGATATCGGAAATAGAAAGAGTAAAGACCTTTTTATTTCTAGAAAATGGTTATAAAATATAAATTAAAAGTCTTGAAAAGGCAGGATTAAGCTATGTTCACCATAATTGTTGAAACAAATAAGGCAGTAGTAGAAGAAAAAACAAATGAACAGAGTGATGGTATTGCTATCATTATAGAATATATAAAAGTATTGCAGAAGAGAATCCAAATATAAAACCATGAATTACATAAAAAGAAACTAAAAAGTGCAATTGCAAAAGTTCTATTCATGTTATCCTTCCTATTGATTTATTTATTGTGATCATGCATTATTATTATAAACCTATAAATCATTATTCTGGCTGCTTATTCGATTTATGTACACTTCCACTTTCTTAAAATATCCAGAATTTTATTTAAAAATATGTTCTTGAAGGACTTGATGCTTTTAGCATATAAAAGTTTTTATGACTTAGAGTAATCAAACTTAAAGATCAAATAAAAAATGATGCTGAAGACCAGTTTCAGAATATTCAAATATTACAAGATACTTTTATAATACGAGATGATATATATACAATTGTGTATAATGTAATAAAAAAATTTATTTATTTTAATAGTAATGAATTGAGTTCATTAGAAAAGTGAAAAGAGAAACTAATTAATTTAGATTATTATTATTATTAATTATTATTATTATTAAACTAAATTATAAGTTGTAAATGGACTCTTTCCAATGATCCCCTGCACCAATTTTTTCACATATACCAACCTACGAAAATTATATAGTTAGCATGTTTATATACAACAAAACTTCGCCATATAGCATCTGGGTTCAAGAGTTTCA